TTAGGTAACTGGAGCCCTAGGGAAAAGCAACACAGGAGGCTGCAAACTTGCATGTGGCATGTAAACGAGTAGCATTTGAGGAAACCTCCTCGACAGACCACGAACCTGGTGGAATGTGGTTCCAGAAAACAACATGTTTACAGCGTCCTGCTGGAAGCAGAAGTAGGGGTTTTGGCATTTAGAGCTCCAGGATTTTAGGGCTTGGGGTGCTAGGATTGAGTTTAGAGTTCTCCACGAGTAAAGGTCTTTGCGTGAATACGTGCTAGCATGCTTCCCTTAGCAGTTACTGGTTTAGCAAATTTCGGACCTCGAAGACACATGATTGAACATGACGACACAACAGTTCATGACTCTGCAGCTGCAGGAAAGGATAGGTTCCAACTTGTCCCCATGGCATCGGCAGGTCCGGTCCGCAAGCCAGAAATCAATCCTTTGGCGAAGTGTGCTGTTTATCCCAGAACCCCAGTAACACATTTCACATCATCCTTCCAGTGCGAAAACAAAAGGGTTGACTTCCAGCTCCACTACGCCACTTCATGTTGCGGCTTCGGCCTACTCTGAATGAAATGCTGGGGGTGGGCGAGGCAGGGGACTGTGAAGCAACAAACCACAATCTGAGATAAACCCCAAACCCTCAACTCTAACTTAACTTGAATCGGCCGAGCTACCCATGCTCCTGGACACGGTCTCCAGCAGTGCGCACAGGAGAAGCAATACGAGTGGAACCAAAGGCCCCGCCAGAGCGGCGGAAAAGCGCACATCTGCCCCGTAGGAGCACTCCTATAGGCCCCTCTGACCCAGGAACAAAACGACTGCTTTGAATCATTCCGTGGGCTAATGCACTAAGTCCTAAACTCTATGCCTTAAATTAGAAAAACAGATCGAAAAACACTAAACTTTAAACCTAAACCCTAAACCTTAAGCTAATAGTGAAACTGAGCCTAGACTAGACCCCTAAACCTTAAACTACAATTCCTGACAAATGGTTCCTAGCAAAGACCGAGACTCCAGGGAAAAGGCATCTTGGAGGCCACTGGTTGTCAACTGTAACCACTGGACATACTCCTGCTTGGGTTGAGGGGTTTACGGCTTTAGGGGTTCAGGGTCTAAAATGGCTTAGGGGTTTTGGGTGTATTCTTGAACCCGTATAGTAACACTCATAGACCCCTTTAGGCAAGTAGTAAGACCCCTACAGTATTTCATTGCGGCACGTGAGTTCAGGGCTTAGGGTTGACGGGCTTACACCCTAAATTCTAAGTCTTAGATTTAGGTTCTAAAATCAGAAACACGGCAAAGAGGCGGTTGAGGGTTTGGGGTTGAGGCTTTCAGCAAGACCGGCCAAAGTTCTGAAGCACAAGCGACCACGAAACGAGCATTGAGTGTGAATTGCCGCAAACAAGGGGCCTCGATGCAAAGCCTGAGCAGTAGGATCTTCAAAAAAAGAGGACCCCTAACAAAAAACTGAAAATCAAAGGCGCCATGATTAAACAAACCGATGAACCACTAAGCTTCACAACCTAATTAGTCCAGATCAAGTAATCCTAAACCCTAAACCCCTAACGCCCAAGAGACGACGCAACCCTGAAACCTAAATTCTCACACGATAACCTTTTCAAGCAACCCGCAAAGGAACCCTGAACCGTAAAGTGCCCGGAAATGCCTCCTCCCAAAGCTCGCCATTTACTGAAAGAGCTGCCAGCACGCCCCAGAGCTGCACGAACCTTGTCTTGTAGGTGGTTTCCATTCAGGGTTACTCGTTGAGCCGTCCTACAAAATTTTAGAGTATAGGGTTGAGAGATGTATACACAGGGTTTGGAATTTAGGGCATAGGGTTAAGGGTCTAAGGGTCTCAATCTGGTTTTACCACCTAATCTAGTTATCCATGTTTCCAACTGTTTGTAAACTAAGCGATGTACTTGTTGATGTTATATTCCTATACCGACTGACGTGCTGACTTACTTATTCACCTGCGTGTTTGCTTGCTTGCTCACTGGCTGGCTGACTGGCTGACAAGTTAACGGGCTTGCTGCCTTGCTGGCTTGCTTGCTTATACATGAGTCAGATACATACGCAGCCATCCATCCATCCATACACCCATCCATCCAACCACCCCTCCGATACATACATACATACCTACATACATACATATACATACATACATACATGCATACATGCATGCATACATACATACATACATACATACAGACATACAGACATACAGACATACAGACATACAGACATACTTACTTACTTACTTACTTAC